TTCGTTTTTGGTAAACAACAAATATAAATAAATGCTTGGAAATAAATTTGGAAAAAATTTATTTTTTTTGGCAAGCAATTTGATATTGCAAAGAAATTTTTATTCTCAAAAAAAGCTCCAACAGTTCCTATCTGGTATTAATGAAGACCGAATGAGTCAGTGAGTAGCATCTAAACATTTTGGCTTATGTAGAATTAACATCCAAAATAAAATAAAGCAAATCCCAAGACATCCGACCCAATAAACAATTAAAACCCAAGACATCCAACAATTTACTGCTTTGGAAGAATCTGCTTTTGTTTCCCACATCTTGGCGGTGTTTGAGCTTAGATTCTCTGTGAATAAATTGGATTTTAGGTTTATTGAGAAAGATTACCTCTCTTCCCTAAAAAAAAACTATAACAAAGTTTAGAAATAAATTTCCTGGACTAGAAAGGAGTATATTATTTATAAAAAGACATCCTATGCTCACTTTGCGTTTGGCAACCAATATAAAACGCCATCGGGTTCCTATTAACAAAAAAACCGAGAGTGAGTTTATTTAAAACCTTACCCAAGTTGTTACAAATGTGCCAGCAGAAAATATATACAATTATGACGAAACAAACCTAAGTGATAATCTATGTCGCAAAAAAAATTTATCTTGTAGAGGCTGTAGATACCCTGAAAGAGTAATAAACTTATCAAAGTTCAATATTTCAGCCATGTTTTGTGGCAACGCTGCGGGATGTACAAAATATAATCCACTTTACGTTAACTAAAACTTAGAAAATCTGCGGTCAACGCGGACAGAAACAGTCAAATGGAACTAGGTATAATCTCACAAAACATGAATGGTTTAATAGTGTCACCAGGGCCGTATTAAGGGAGAGGCTGTGGAGGCTATAGCCACAGGCCCACCACAAAAAATAGGCTCTCTGAGAAAAAGGTAAACAATTATAAAAAAAAGTTTCACTCCTAAAAAAAAATATCAACATATAAAAAAGCTTATATTAAAAAACGTCAAAAAGGCAAAAACGCTAAATTATCAACAATCGGATATTTAAACTCGCGTCCTCGCATACTAAATGTTTAACTATCAAACATCTAAACACTGTGAAAAAATGTTTATCTATCAGATGTTTAACAACCGGAAACCTAGATACTTCAAGAATATATTTTACTTAGTTGCAAAAATTGTTTTTTTCTCGTTTTAATTCTTTTATATCCGATTCAATAAAAAAAAAAATTTAGTACAGACTGTTCGCAAGCCTGAATCGAATATTGAACTTGGTACAAGTAGCGCAAATGCAACCGAAATTTATCAAATTGATGATCATGACCAAGTCGTAGGTATAAAGATATTAGATATCTCAACAGCAACTAAATCGTGAACAAGAATTTCAAGATGAACCAGTTCTAGTAGAAGGTCTAGCAGGAGAGGTTAAAGTGAAAATACAATGTGACAAACTTGCAAATGTAAATACAAAGTTTCCTGGTGATGTAGGAATGTGGAAAGTTATTGATGTTTTGCGCGATTATTTCTGTTTCAAAGGAATTGCTAGTTGTCAACACATGCAAAGCGATTCGAAAGCTCGTCGGAAGGTATATATTCAAGTGATACGTTTAAACAATGTTGTTGAAACTTTTTTTTTTCGAGAGTAATTAAACAGTGAGAAAGTTTAGCGTGATTGGCTTTGCTATTTTCTAAAAACTGGTAAGATATTCTGTGCTAATTGTAAACTATTCGCAAAAGACGAAGAAACGCCGTTGTTAGCAACTTGTGGTTATTGCAATTGACGAATGCAGTCAGGGATTTAATTCGCATTGAAGTCAGTAATTTGCACAGAAATAGTATTGAAAAAGTTACTTATATAAAAACTACAGGTAAGTGAATAGAAATAAGTCTTGTAGAACAGCTCATATCTGAAAAGAACTAATGGCGTCAACTTCTCCAACGGATTTTAAGTGTAATCAAATTATTCTCGGCGATAGGTCTTGCTTTTCGTGAACAAAATTATTGGATCTGTGAACAATGGAAATTATTTAGGATGTTTAGAGTTACTTGCGGAGTATGATCCATTTCTTGTAAAACACATTCAACAACGCACTAACATGGTAGAGACTACATTTAATATTTTTTATTAACAATATATGATGAATTTATTTGAATTATTAGTGATCAGTTAATGAGGCTAGTCATACAAGATCATGAGGCTGATCATACAAGAAATAAAAGATGCAAAATACTATTCTGTCTCAGTTGACTTAACACCGGATGTTTTGCAATCAGACCAGTTACCATTGATAGTTCGATATGTAATAGCAAGCGGACCTGTTGAAGGTTAAATAAAATATATTTTGGTAAATAAGCATACAAGTGAGAGCATGGTAAAAATCCTACTTGCACTTTTAGAAAAGAATGGCATAAGCATTAAAAATTGTAGAGAACAATCGTATGGTAATACATCAAATATGACTGAAAAATACAATGTTTAGCTGAATATATTACATGGTGTGGACATTCTCTAAATCTTGTTTGTTAAAACGCGATCGACAGCAATTCCGTTGCAGTTTATTTTTTTAATTTCGTTCAAAAGCTGTTTGTGTTTTTCTCTGCTTCAACACACCAATGAAATTTACTTTTAACTGACATTACTCCTTTACGAATACCTACATTGAAACGACTTTCGGATACACGTTGGTCTGCTCGTCACGATGCAGTTGATGCAATGCAGAAAGGATATAAAACAATTCAACAAATTCTTGTCAGTGTGTCTGAACCAATTACTGAAAAATCTGATACGTAATTGGAAGCAAAAGGGCTTAACGCAAGTATGAATAATTTAGAGACTGGACTAATAATTCAGATATGGTCAATGGTTTTAGAAAGATTTGACAAAACAAACAAATGTCTTCAAGATTAAAAACTAGACTTGAATACGGCTACAATGATGTTGCAATCCTTAAAAACGTTTGTTCAAGAACTTCGTTCTCAATTCAGTGAAATAGAGCAGAAATGTAAAATATGATCAAAACAATGGTATCAACAAGAGCATAAAAGAAAAATTAGGAGAAACAGAAGATGGGACTATCGTGATGCAGAAGCAGATGATGCTGACGTTGATTTGACGCCTTCGAAAAAGTTTTAAACACGCACATTTCTTCCAACTATTTACAACCTTTTATCAGCTTTGAATCAAAGAATCTCTGCATATAGAGTTATTAATGATAGATTTGATTTTTTGTCTCAAGTTAATACTTTAAAATCTTATGATTTGCGAGCCAAAGCCGTGCATTTAGTTAAAATATACCATGAAGACCTTGAGCCTCAGTTCAATTTATTGCTTTGTTCAAACAGTTTAATAAAGAAACCGCGTCAACTGAAAACAAAATTTGTATAAGAAAAAGTAGAGATATGCAGATGTTGATATTTATTTGTAAACATAGGCTCGTGGCTGCTTTTCCAAATGTTTGAATTACACTACACATGTATCTATGTTAATGGTGAACATTTGCAGCGGAAAACGTTCATTCTCTTACCTAAAACTCATTGATAATGGTGTAAGATCAATCATGGACCAAGAACGTTTAAACGCCCTGTCGCTGTTATGCATAGAAAATAGACTACTTCAACAGCTTGATTTAGATTCTCTAGTTTAAGAATTTATTAATAAATATCTTGAAAAGTTAACTTCTAATAGTCTAAGCGGAAAACTGTTTTGACTTTGTGGAAAGAATCACCTGCAGGTAAAAAAAATCCAAAACACTTCCAAAACGACAATTTCCATTACTTCTAAAAAAAGTGCTGAAACTAATAAAAGACACTTCTAGTGAAAATTTAATATCAGGTTTTGCTAAGTGTGGAATTTGTGCCTGCCACTGTGCCTGCCACAGCAGAATTGGTTATCTGTTGATCTATGTCTTATTTCTAGAGCATTTATTAATCATTTGAATTACAATCGTGCAGACCTTGGATCTTCAATATTAAATCGCAAAAAGAAATTGTATGTTCCACCAGGGGTCGATGATATAAAACTTTTACCGGCGTAAAATGCTACCAGCAGAAATGTTACTCTGGGAATTTTTACAGTCGCAAACTTAGAGCCGTACAATCTTTTTTAATTCAATGTTATAAAATCTATGCCATGAATTTATTTTTAGAAATTTATTGTCCGGATCAATAATATTTTTAAGACATAAAAGGTTATCAAAAATAAAGTGTTTTTGAGTTTTCAGAATGTTTTTGAAAGATTCAAAAACATTCTGAACCACATATTTCTACAAGTAAATATTAATATCTTTGGATTTTGAACAAAAGTTTCCGTATGTCCAAAACATTTTTCGACGGTAAACGTTTTGGCAGTAAATGGCCATCGTTGGTAATTTTTGAAAATGTTTTATAACATTGACAAAAATCGTTTACGCTGGTAGCATTTTACGCCGGTAAACAGTTTTATAACATTAACCCCAGAAAGAGAAATCTTTCCTGAACAGAATCAGCTGTTATACCAGTCAAAATGCCATAAAAGCGCCACGAAACGAAAAAAGTTAAATGTGACATCTCAAGTGCAACATCTAACAGCGAATATAAGTATAAGCTACGTGTCTTTAAATCTGAATGAAACAACTATTTTTAAACATTTAATATTTATATAGAGTAGTTACCTACATACCAATTTAATATTTATATAGAGTAGTTACCTACATACCAATTTAATATTTATATAGAGTAGTTACCTACATACCAATTTAACATTTATATAGAGTAGTTACCTAGTTACCAATTTAATATTTATATAGAGTAGTTACCTAGTTACCAATTTAATATTTATATAGAGTAGTTACCTACATACCAATTTAATATTTATATAGAGTAGTTACCTACATACCAATTTAATATTTATATAGAGTAGTTACCTACATACCAATTTAATATTTATATAGAGTAGTTACCTACATACCAATTTAGAGTAGTTACCTAGTTACCAATTTAGCTATTGTTTTATTTATACAGAACAAAAAAAAAATTTTATACAATATACAAAGTCTTTTGTATCATTTCAATTTATAATTTTACATTTTATAGATCGAATGATATTTGTTTATGGAGCTATTTCTGCAAGTAAATTTTAAGTACTTGTTTTAACATTATGGAGGTATTTACTTAAGTATTTAAAATATTTTTAATTAGCTTGAAGTTGTAAAGTTGTAAGATGTGCGATGGCACAGTGAGAAAGTTGTAAGAAGGCGATAGGAGGTATGCAAGTAGATGGTAGGTTAAGCCTGATGGAGAAGAAGAACGATATAAAAAATGTTTTTTCGTCCTTGTATTAAATTAATATTTTTTGAAAGACATTCTAAAAACGAAAAGAGAACTAGGGGCAAGTTAAAAAAAACGTTTATTAGATGTTATGATTCAGATTGCGAATAAATTCTAATCTCGGTCGAGAATAGAATGTACGTATACTGTCTTAACTATTCTGTCAAGACCCAACTGGGTTCATACAATAAGATTGCATTTTAATACTTACGTTATATGAAGAAAAATATTGGCACTTGTAATAACAAAAAAAAAAAAAAGCTCTCGTAGTAACGAGATAAACTATTAAAACAAACAATAAACAGATTTAAACATTTTTCGATATTAGAGAGGAGTTATTAATTACGCACAATAAAAAGTAAAGATTGATATCTAGTGTTTGTTTTGTATACTATGAAATTAAAAGAGAATCTTTTAATAGAATATAAATTTACTTACTTACCTCAAGTTAAAAAAATGAGGACTTATCAAAGTAAAAAAAGTAAGACCAGATCCACAAGTTATTTGAGAAGAATTTTGAACCAAGCCGCATTTGAAAACTTGTTTATCCGCATTTCCAAACCGACACATAGATCAAACTTTCATCGAATTGCAACACAAACAAAAACACCAGTTATTATTGACGAAAAGCATTACATCGAATTAAAAAACTTTAAAAACAAGCTTAAAGAATTTAATGCTTTATCAAACTTTCATGGTCAGTATTGGCAATGCATTGGTCATATAAATATTCGAATGAAGTTATGTGCTCAATGCTTTAGTGTTAATCAAAGTGATTCCCATAATAGCGAGTTGTATTTTGTTGATAAACTTGAAAAAGCTCATGTAAGAACATCGTTATGTTACAATTGTATTTTGTTATTCATTATGTAAAATTAAACAACCAGCAACAAGTTACAAGAAAATTATAATATTAAACAACCTTCGACAAGTTACAAGAAAAAATTGTGAAAAATACAAATATAGTATATGTGGTATTTTATTTATTTTATTTCATGTATAATGTAAATAATGTTTATAAGATTTTGAATTAAGTATTTTTAAATAAATAATACTTTTGTCTTGCGCCAATTTTGTGCACTACATTGTATTATTAATAAAAGCAATTTTTTTAATAAAAACACAAATATTGGATACATAGAGAAAATTTAATTTAAAGATTTAAACATGCTCTATGAAAGTTAAAAAACTTTTCAATATTCAATTTTCAATTTATTTAAATTATAGGCAGTTATTGAAATTTTTCAATTTTCAATAACCGCCTATCAGATTACAATAATAGATAATTGCTCTTGTTCTTACGACCCTTATAATAGAAGCGGCCCTTATAATAGAAGCGGCCCTTATAATAGAAGCGGCCCTTATAATAGAAGCGGCATGGTGTAATAGAAGCGACATGGTGTAATAGAAGCGGCATGGTGTAATAGAAGCGGCATGGTGATAACTGTAGCACGGTGAGCGCCAGTGAGATTAAATGCATATTTTTGGCATATAAAAAAAATGCACATTTTTTAAAGCAAAAATATTTTAGCTAACGCCGTATCAGAGGATATCTCTCGGAAACATCATGTTTAAAAAAATTATTTTTAAGTAAACAATGTGTATTTCTTTTGTTGTCGTTTTTTTCTTTGAATGGTTTTTTTAAATGTATTTTTCTAAGAACATTGTTTGTACAAATTTCTTCATGCAACATAAAATGAATTTTAAAAGTAAAACACTTTTTTTTAAAAAAAAAAAAAACTACATTTACTTAAAAATAGTTTTTATAAACAAACTGTATTTAAAAGACTTCTTGTATGGCGACAAACCAATTTTTTTGCGACTACTTTTAACTTTTTTTATTGTATTCACTGCTTTATAGAATTTCTTCAATACGTTTGGGCTTATATTTTTATTGCAATTAGTTGTAATGCGTAAATATTATTTACCACAAAAAGTATTTCGCTTTTAGTTCTACCTACAATCTATGGTAATATCTTTTGATACCAGAAATAGTATAGCTGCTAGTAAAAATTATTTTAAAAAAAGCCAATAAAGAAATAAATTTATAGTAAAATAACCTTTTCTTATAGAGTTTTAAAAAAGTAGAAGAAAAATTAAGTTGAAACCATAAATTTATTAAAAACTGCGTGTTATATTTGTTAATGACGACGTTAAACGTGATAGAAATGGGGAGCATTTTTAAAGGCAAACGAGCGTACGTGCCCCAAACAATCTTGCAAACACTTACACAAATACGAACTTTCATAAGAGTAAATTATAATTTAGGGGTTAGGCGATAAGACTGAACTTGTTTTCTTCTTGCCCCAACCGTGTAATTATTTAACTTTTATACTTCTAATTTTGTCATTTTTCTTTAGGGCAAAATACATAATAATAATAAGCATTTATGAAATGGTCAATACGCTACACTACGTCACTACGCTGGTTGGTAGAGTATTAGCAATAATATATATATATATATATATACAAAGGCTTATTGATTGGGATACTAGCAGCAAAATATAAATAAAAAAGCTGATGTGTAAGGATGCTAGCAGTAAAATATATTTACAAAGGATGATTGTATGAACGCTAGCAGAAAAAAATATATACATAGACTAATTGGTAGATATGCTAGCAGCAAAATATATATGCAAAAGCTTAGTACATTTAAAACCGATATCATTTTTCAGCACCGGTATTTCGGTAGTGAATAATTTCAATATCGGTATTAAATTTTTTTTTAATTAATCATAATATGATTAAAATCTAAAGAGAATAGTAAATATTTCATTGATTCAATTTTTATTTTACACCAAAATTATCGACTTTTTCATTTCTCGCTTTTTTCAAAATATGCCTAAAAAAAACATAGGGCAGTCAGAGTGTCATCCTCAAGAGATTGTCGCACTTTTGTGACATTGTTGCCACTTGCAATCACTTGGAAAATCAATGTTCACTTTTCCTTTATTGCTACATATTTCATTATTCAAAATGACCATGTCAAACTTTCTTTCAATGAAAAGTTTGCAGTTTTGTCTAATCTAAAGATCCTATTTCTTTAGAGTTCAAATCGTTCGTGGTCAATAAATTCGTATGTGCAGGAGGTTATATAGACAAAACTATTTTCCATCTCAAGACACGGATATCTGAACATTACAAAAAGGGACAAATAGTCTCATATCTTTAAGCATCTCCATGCTAATGAAACTTGTTTTAAGCAAATAAGTGATAAGTATTTTTCTGTTTTAGATTCGGCATGTAACAAACTCGAGTTAAAACTTAAAGAAAAAATGTTCATAGAATGGTTAAAACCTGGTATAATAACAGGTTAAACAGCTTAACCATGTCCAAATGACACTTTCTGTTTAGCTACTACATTGTATACATACTGTGTATCTTTTTAACCTATACTTTTGTTATTTCCTATTTCTTTAGTATGACATGATAAACTTTTTAATTGATTTTATTGTAATTTTTGAAATTATATTATTATTACTTTGTACAAGAATAGTTACATTTTGCAATGTTTTTTTTTAACACCTTTATAAGTATTTTAACAAATTTCGAATATTTTATTTTAACTGAAGATGATTAATGTTAGTCGAAACATTTATTGTTTAGTATTAATAAAATATTTATCGTCTTTCTCTTTCTAGCAACTTAACAAAAAAGCAACAATTGCCTAAAGAAGTGCAGACAGTAGTATGAAAAGTGAAACGTTTAAAACTAAAGATAGCTGAAAATATATATTGAGTGTTCAGTTTACTTGTGTTAATATACACTTGTGTTCAGTTTGACGGTTTGTGACTGAAGCAATATTTGGTTTAATCACAATTGCAATTTTATATACAAAAAGTGTTTATTAAATATAATGAGAAACTTCTTCATTTAATGTTGTCAAATCAAACCATTTTAAGCTACATAATATATTATTAATAAAGCCTGAGTGCTTTGAATACGCATAAAAGCGCTTTGGGACTTGGCTGAGAGACCTTGTGTCTTACAAGGTTACCAAAAATCCAATTTTACGAAAAGCAAAATTAACAAAATGAATTTATTGACTCAATACAGAATTATTATGGAATGGCAATTAGAAGAATCATCGATAATATTTATATATGATAATAAATTTATCTTTATCTAATTACTAATAATAAGTAATTGATTCTACGGTAATTTGTCTAAGCGCAAAAATTAAGCTTGTCGCAATGAAAATTAATCCGAAAACAAACAACAGATTGAAGAAAAAAGTCAGGATCAAACGCAACCTTCTCGATTCTTGATACTATTAATCGATACTTGAAACTATTGACACTATTAATCGATACTTGAAACTATTGATACTATTAATCGATACTTGAAACTATTTATACTTGAAAAGTAACTACCGATACTCAAAAAACTTAAAAAAAGAAAAAATCAAAAAAATATATATATGTAATGAAAACTCGTTTAAAAATTTATATATAAAATTAAAAATATGTTAAAATCCTTTAACTATAATAATTAGATTTAATATATAAACAGGTATATATTTGTATAAATGTAGATATATGAATAATTAATAATTATACAATTTATACTAAGTTACTTTTCGAGTCGATAAAATATAGTAGTATAGTAGAAGGTAAATTTATAGTAATATGATAGTTCGAAAAAGAAAAAGATAGTAAGGAAGGAAAAGAAAATATGATAGTTCGAAAAGAAAAAAGATAGTAAGGAAGGAAAAGAAAAGTAATGTACTAAAAATAGTACAAAGAAAACGTAACTGAGAAGAAAAAGAAGAAGAAGAAGAAAATGTATATATATCAAAATGCAGAAAATTCTAAAACATATGACCAAAAAACAAAACGCGTTTTATCTATTCAGAAATCCACCCTTGAGTTGTTTTTTAATATAAATATTTTATAGATATATATTATATACAAGCAAAACCTTAATCCTTCATTTTTCATAAATCAGCTGACAAAAAGGTAGAACATGTAAGGAGTGTACATACATCGACATCGTACATACATCATTTATTTTCATCACACTTATTGACTGAAAATATGTAGAACGTACAACGAGTGGGGCAAGTTAAGTAATAAACAAAGTAAAGCATATGTATGATATAAATTTTGAAACAAAAGATTGCCAACTGCGTAAAGACATTTGACGCACAACTTTAAAGTTTTTTTTTTTTGATTGAGGTCATAAACAACACTTGCAAAAACTCAAATGCGTACTTTATTTACAAACCGCCTTCTAGTAATAAAAATAACATTTGACAAACTATTTAAAAGCCCAGTTAAAAATAAATATATGTTCAAAAACAAAAACAAAAAAAGAAAAAAACAGCGCTTAAAAAAAAGTTCATAAAAAAAGAACCCATAAAAATGGCAACAAATTCTAAAAACTATAATTCATAAAATTAAAAAAACTATTTAAAAAAAAAAAAAAATGCATACAAAATTAAAAGAAAACATAAAAACAGTAAACGATTTTTTATGGCAATTGCAAATTGCTCGAAAAAATTCTACAAGAGTAGAAGTAATACATGAATAATATCAAAATAAACTGAATTCGATGTCAAAAATAAAAAAATAAGAATTATATTTGAAATAGCTTTTATTAAATAGTGTGAAGACTAACGATATTTATAGTTCGTTACTTTACGTGAAGTGTTCAAATATCCGCATACTTTTCGCCTAATTAAACAAAATTACATATTTTTACATATAAGTACAAAACGTACAATTAAACAATTTTTGTACCATTAAAATTTTTACAAGACAAAAGAAATTCAAAATTCTGTTTAGTTGTACAGTGTACAAAATAAGGTAACTATTCGTTGTTTATAATATAAAGTGCTGGCTATTAACCCATGCATTTAAAAAATATATGCAAGTCCGTCGTACCACAGGACTACTAGGGACTTGGTTGTGGACGTTGTTGAATATATATATATAAAATTATTCTTAAAAAATATTTTTCTTTGTTGTAAGGAAACTCGCAGAAAACTAAAATAGTCTTTTCATCAAGAACCTTTAAAACATAAAATAAACTTTAATGAACTAGTTCAACAAATAAGTATTTTGGTATCTACATAAGTATTTTGGTATCTACTACAAAGTAGAAGTAGTAGGGCTTTTTATTATTACTATTTTTCACAAATTGTTTAATACATTTCGATGAAGTTGGTTAAGTTAATTATGATATGTTTTAGTTTTTTTTTTCAGAGCAATAAGGTTATCTATTTTATTAAGTTCCATATTTTGAAGTATTATTTTGTTATGTAAGTATGGGCCACGGTATATTAAAGAAAATCGCGAGAATTTTTTTTTTTTTTAAAGGCAGGGTGAAGTTGCCTGTTCCTCGTGTGATATATTTGTTTGCGTTGATATGAAAAAAGCTATCAGTAAAGTATTTCGGAACAAGTCCGAGTTTGTATTTTATCATGAATAAGATATTTTGGTAAATATTTATTTGATAAATATTTAATGCATTCAAATTTTTAAGTAAAGTGTCGGCATGAGTGAATTCATCTTTATTATAAATTAATCTTGATGCATGTTTCTGATGTATGTAGAGTGAATTTAATTTAGTTTTATGGGTACTTCCCCATGCAATATTAGCGTATGTTAGGTAACTTTGAACATAAGAAAAGAAGAGAATTTTTAAGTTGTCTTGGGAAAACATAGGTTTGGCTTTGTAGAGTACGCCGATAGTTTTTGATATTTTTGTGTTTATTGTATTAATATGGGCTTTCCAATTAATATTCTGGTCAATAATTATTCCAAGAAACTTAGTTATTTCAGTTCTTTTGATGTTTATGTTATCAATTTTTAGTGAAGGTAGAGTGTCTGGTATAAAGTTTTTAAGACGGTTGGAGTGAAGCAAGATATATTTTGTTTTTTCTGTATTCAAAGATAATTTATTAACTTTAAACCAGATGTTGAGGTTTTCGAGGTCAGTGTTCATAGATTCGTAAAGGTCGCTTATAGACGGCGATGAGTAAAATAAATTTGTATCATCAGCGAACATTATTACATCAAGTTTTTTTAGGGCTTTTGGAAGATCGTTGATATATATTAGAAATAAAAGGGGACCCAGAATGGAACCTTGGGGAACTCCGCATTTTATTTCTAGTAGGTCTGAATATTTATTATGATCTGTAACAACGCATTGTTTTCTGCTACTCAGGTAACTTTTGAACCAGTCAAGGGATATATTTTTAACACATTATCTTTCCATTTTTTTAAGTAAGATATTGTGATTAACTGTGTCGAACGCTTTAGATAAATCTATAAAAGTCCCTAATACAAATTGCTTTTTATCGAAAGAATTACTCATGCTATTTACAAGATCTAAAGTGGCATGTTCGGTTGAGTGTTTTATTTGGAAGTCCCAAGGTATTTTTGGAATTCCCAAGGTACAATACATTTATTATTTTGGAAAAAATATATTAAAATATTTATCCATTTACAGTTGGTGTAATTCCATTGCGAAAAGCGCTTGAACATTTGATTACGTTACTTGGTTAATAAATTCATTCCAGAACATTTGATGACATTATGCATTCGAGTTTTTTTAAATGATTTTGTAGTATAGAATTTGTTTGATCACGAAGTAGGTTGTTGAACTTCGATTGTCAGAGCGATTGTTTTTTTGTTGTTTTATTTTTGCGGTTGTTTTGGTATTATCATTTTATACGTAGACTTATTTTTTAATTTTGATTAGAACTATTTAACCTTAAAATAGTTCTAAAAAAAATTAATAAGAATATTTAAAGGTTACTATAGCATTTCTACGAATGGGTGGATGTTATATAATCTTGGAAGACCTATCCAGATATGCGATGTTGCTGGATTAACTGGGAATGCTTAAAATAGAATATTTCAAAAAGAAAGTATTGAAAAAGGATTACAGGTTACAGGGATATATCAATTTAAAAAAAATATTTTTATTTCAAACGAGTTTCTTTCCTCCTATGTAACGGATCATGACAAAGTCAAGAAAGATATAACCACTACATCAGCTCCCGTTACTAATGTAAAGAGAAATGTAGCCCAGCCGTCATTATCAAGGTGTGAATTATAAACGCTTTTAACTTCAGCTCAACAAACATCTAGAGTTGTGAATCTGGAAACGGTTCGCCTATTATCAAAAGCTGCAGTCAAAAAAAACTAAAAGAGTTAGTCGATAAATATCTTAAATACCTTAAAATCAATTTTGTTTGTCTACGATACTATCGTTTTTATTCTAATAAAGATAATAATGTTTTATTTGCAACAGTAAACAAAGAGCTTGCGAAATTATGCGAATGGTTTATACCAAACAAGTTGTCCATAAATATTAAAAAACCAAAATATACTTTCTTCCATCGTCTTCATGAAAAAGAGGACACTCCCTTAAAACTTCCTAATCATTTTTTAAATCACTCTTATGTCAAGAGAGAGCATTCTTTGTCGTTTATAGGTGTAGCTTTAGATAAAAATGTAACGTGGAAGAAGCACATACGTATAATCCAAAATAAAATACCAAATAATATATGCCTTCTATACAAAGCCAAACAGTTGTTAAACCAAACCTTTTTTCATTTACATTTTTTACATTCTTGATCATATTTATTTCTTGATCTGAATCTCAGTAAATGTGAAAATTGTAACAATTTTATAAAATGTGTATTTAAAACAATTGTATTAATTTTATAAAATGTGTATTTAAAACGTGTAAATAAGTGATTTCCTATATATTTCTTGTATATTATATTCAATATTATTACAATAATTCAATAACAATATTATTACAATAATTCAATAACATTGAGGCCTTTAAAAATCAGCTCTCATTATTACATTGGAAACACTTAAATTTTAATGAAAATGCAAACAACCTTTATGAAAAATTCTATGAAACTTTTATCTCTGTTTACGAGTCTAATTTTCCAATTGTTACAATTACATTAAAAACAAAACACTTTGATAATCCCTGGATTACCAAGGGGTTCAAAAAATCATCCAAAACTAAACAAAGGCTATACATAAAATATCTAAAAACAAAAACACCAGATAGCGAAAAAATTTACAAAGATTACAAAAATCTATTCGAAAAAATCCGAAAAAAATTTAAAAAAAATTACTATTCAAAATTAATTAATAAAGCTAAAAATGACTCAAAACGCACTTGGCAAATATTAAAAGAAATTACAGGAAAACAAAAAACATGCTCAAGCTCTTTGCCACAAATGCTTAAAATCGATAACAATAGCTTGCATGAGCCACAAATAATAGCTCATGAATTCAATAAATATTTTACTGAAATTGGATCAATCTTATCAAGTAAAATACAAAAAACTCAGACCTCATTTTATGATTTTTTGTTACCTTTTGATAAAAATATTTCCTCTGAAGAATTATCTGCTGAACTATCATTTGATGAGTTTGAGAAAGCTTTTAAATCTTTAAAAAAGAATAAAGCACCTGGTGCAGATGAAATAAACGGGAATATTGTTATAGATTGCTATGAACAATTAAAAAATATTCTTTTCAAAATTTTCAGAGCATCTATTCATCAAGGTATTTTTCCTGAACGTTTAAAACTTGCCAGAGTTACCCCTCTCCATAAAGAAGGCGACAGATCCAATATCAATAATTATCGCCCTATCTCTGTTCTTTCTATATTTTCTAAAATTTTAGAAAGAATTATTTTCAATAGAGTATACAATTATTTTAATTACAACAATTTATTATATAACAATCAGTATGGTTTCAGAAAAGGGAGCTCAACTGAACATGCCATCATTCAATTTATACATAACATCTCTAAATCTTTTAAAAAATCTCAATACACACTAGGTGTCTTTATTGACCTATCAAAAGCTTTTGATACGGTCGATCACCACATCTTAATCCAAAAAATTAAATATTATGGTTTAAACAATAAAATTTTAAAATGGTTTGAAAGCTATTTAACAAATCGAAAGCAACTTGTGTATAGTAATGATGGTTATCAAAGTGAACCCCTGAGCATAACTTGTGGTGTTCCACAAGGCTCTATTCTCGGACCACTACTATTTTTAATCTATGTAAACGATTTAAACAAAGCTTCCAAATTGAAAAGTATAATGTTCGCTGATGATACTAATCTTTTCTTATCCCATACTGATATTTATGAACTCTTTTCAACTACAAACAAAGAACTCAAACACATTTCGAACTGGTTCAAAGCTAATAAATTAACTTTAAATATTAACAAAACAAAATGGATTATTTTTCACTCCTGCGCAAAAAAACGATTTTTAACAAATAATATGCCTCAAATTTACATTGATGAAACTATAATAAAAAGAGATACTGTTATAAAATTCTTAGGTGTTTATCTTGATGA